AACTGTTTATGCAACACTGAGGCTATTGACTTCGATTTCAGCCGGCTTTTCTTTTTGGATTTGCTACCATAGCCTTTATCCAACCAAGAACAAACTACAAGGCAGCAGTTGTTTGATTTTGGAGTTGTTGTCCCCAGCTAACGAGCCTCATCTGCCCGAGGGTTCGATCTCGAGACTTATCGGTTTAGCAGCCATGACTCGACCAAGCCGACGCTTTTTACACTAGACAACAATGTACTTTATGGCCTTGTGTTTATACTGTGTATCGACAAAAAAGACAGCCATTCGCTTCACCGTCAATCCTGAACAGACACCCAAACTCTGATCTTAACAATAATTTAAACAGAACATTCAGTTCAGAGATAAAGCATTAAACCTGAGCTTTGCGTCATGTGTGGAAGGGCGAGGTCGGATGGTAGAACGAAGGACGGCTAACCTGAAGTTCTACAGTTCGGACCACGGGCTCGAGTACGGATGACGTTCCAGGGTCAGCAGAGCTTTGGTACCTGACTCACGTTAGGAAAAGTAAAAGAGGCTGGATCTTGTACAGACTACACTATCACTTTATATGCAGAGTTCGGTTCCAAGAAAAATGCACAATCGGAACATTGCGCAAAGGAAAACTGCGCAAACAGAAACATGCGAAAATACAAACTATTTATACTAAAACTTTAATTTTGTCATATATTGTGGAAAAAAAATGTTTTATTATGTTACCATCTACATGTAGTGAATCTTTGTTAATGTCTAAAAATGCTCGATTTAAGAAAACTAAATACCCTTGCGCATTTCTGTGCGCAATGTCCCATTACGCATTTTTCCGTTACGCATCTCTCCGGTCACCTCTGATCTCACAAATAGATTAACTCTACTTCACATGCACATGGAATGAGGTTCGAGAGTGCTAGAGTTTCTGTGTCATCTGTGTGCTTCTACTCAAAGCCCTTATTTCTAATCACAGATCATCTTCTTCTTCGTTCTTAATTTTAGAGTTACAGGTGATTCCCTCCAACACACTTAAGTATACGTGTTGATTCCGATTTCAGCCTGTTTTTCTTTTTGGATTTGATTCCGTTGCCCTTGTCCAACCAAGAACAAACTACAAGGCAGCAGTTGATTGATTTTGGAGTTGTCTCACTTAGGAGAGTTGCTGTCCCTAGCTGTTGAACCTCATCTGCCCGAGTGTTTGAACTCGAGACTTTTCGGTTTTGCAACCATGAATTTTACCGACTCAAATCAGTGATCAAATCCATTAGCCACTGCTCCAAAATTAATCATCAACCCGTAAACGTAAGCGTTCTCTCTATGTCCTTGCATTTAGTATTGAACATGCACTGCTTCCTCAGGTTTAGACGAAACAAGGCCATTTTTTTGGTAAATCGTCATCAAAATACTAATCTTTGCAATGCTTATGTAACCTTCCAATAACGCATGCATATTTTGTTGTGTTTTTTTAAAATAATATTTATTCAATATTCAGACTGGAAAGTAAAGGCAAACCACAGCCATTAATGTCTGATGAAGATGGGGTATAGAAATTGGCCTCTGCTGCAAACATAACTAGTCATTTTAATTTTCTCAACCTAAAACTACAAGAGAGGGAAATCCAGTTTCTGGCCTATTCGCCCAAAGGCCTTCAGATCCAAACTTGTCATGTTTTTGGAACAAGTGCATGCCAAAAACTTGACGCACTTTCAGCAGTTCAATATCTTCGTGTCTGAAGCAACAGCTGATTGTCCCGGGACATTTGCATGCGAGATCGTCAAAGACCTCCAGCTGCTGTTTCAGGTGCGCCGACCTTTGACCACAGGTGCTTTGACACTAGGGAGTTTGACCACAGGGGATTTGACCACAGCGGAGCTTTGACCATAGGGGTTTGACCATAGGGGGTTTGACCACAGCAGGGCTTTGACCATAATGGAGCTTTGACCATAGGGGGTTTGACCATAGGGTATTTGACCACAGGTGTTTTCGCAGCAGACAGCCTTTAATCACAGGTGGTTTGTTAACGGGTGTTTGATCACAAGCGCTGTGTCCG